TCGCCTGGCTTTGAAGCAGCATCCGGAGATGAAAACCTTTGATGGTGACAAGGTCTGTGGAAATACATGGCCTTCCAAAACCTGAAAGGAGAGCTTCAAACACCGGCAGAGATGTGAGTCACCTGAAAGGAGGGAATATTGGCATCAAAACATGATGAGTGAAGAGTGTGTGCTTTAATCTGCCAGAAGAGCAAGGAACAACTTTAAAGGATTGTTACCTAATTTCTCAAAGGGAGGCCACTCAGATCAGAGGGTCTCTCACCCCAGAGATACCCTTTCCATATTGAACCATGCCCCTGTAGCTTCCAGGGTTAGTCAGTCTAATGTGCTCTAGATGGGGCTGTCTTCACTGGTTGTCACTTCAGCTGGGAAGAAAAGAGGCTGCTCACCTTCTGACAGCTGAAGAAAAATGTTCCCATGGTATTCCCAACCTGGGATCTTTCCAGATGCTGAAAGTTATGAGACTTGCATATCTGGAGGGCATTCAGATGGGGAAGGTTGTCCCATAGCAATCTGTGCTAGGAATCCCAAAGCAAGACAAGATCATCATCATTGTAGGTGAATGTCTCTTATGTTCTTTCCTTCTCATATCAGTTCACAATCAAGATGTATAAATCTCTGCATATCTTTTCTTCTGCATTTATCATCTTGCCTTTTTATAGTTTGCCCAAGAGCATGCATTTTTGTAGATATTTCCCAAATACTTAACTTTTGGAAAAGTAATATCTTGATCCAACCATGTACCATTTCATTTGTTTGTAATGTATAAAGTAAGCAAGTTCACATTACTTGTCTTATAGTAATTTTATTAAAGATTATAATTACAATAGTAAAAACTAATAAACTAAAAAAGAAAAGAGGAATAAAAACAAAGAGTAGAAGGTACAGAAAAGAAAGAAAAAAGAGGAAAAAAGAGAAAGAGAAAAGGTAAGAATATAGTGAAGAGAGAGAAAAGAAATATATAAAGAAGTGACTTCCCACCTTCATCACAACTATAAACAATTTTAATAATTTATCATCTCCTCTTAAAATACAAATGATCTCTTCTTCCCATATCCCATCTCTTATCTATAAACAAATCTATAAAGCATTGTCATTTCAGTCCTGGTGTCAGCCAAAGTCCATTAAGGGTTACCAGAAATAAATAAAGAAGTGACTTCCCACCTTCATCACAACTATAAACAATTTTAATAATTTATCATCTCCTCTTAAAATACAAATGATCTCTTCTTCCCATATCCCATCTCTTATCTATAAACAAATCTATAAAGCATTGTCATTTCAGTCCTGGTGTCAGCAAAAGTCCATTAAGGGTTACCAGAAATAACAATATATCTATTTTAACCTTGATCAAATCAACCAGCTTTATATTCTTTCCATTTACAGGTAGTCCTCAATTAACGACCACAATAGAGACTGGAAAATTGGTCGTTAAGCATGGAAGTCATTAAGTGAGTCACCATGTGATCAGACCCAATTTTAAAACCATTTTTATTATGGTCATTAAGCGAATCACAGTCATTAAGCAAACCACGTGGCTGTTAAATGAATCCAACTTCTCCAATTGATGTTTTTGCCAGAATTTGCTTAACAACCATGTGATTTGTTTAATGACCATGGTGATTCACTTAACTGTCATAAAAAAGGCTGCAAATCATGATCACATGACCATGGGGGGTGGTGCAGCGGCTTGCGACGGTTGTAAGTGCAAGTGCAGGTTGTAAAGCACTTTTTCCAAGGCTGTCATAACTTCAAACTATCATTAAATGAATCATTAAGTGAGGACTACCTGTATTTCTAACAATCTTAATCTTTAGTCCACTCAAATAATGTCCTAGAACTTTTCATTTTTACTTTGTCCCTTCCCCCAAGATTCTTCAAAACTTTAACAAGCCTCTTTTGTAAACCCAATATGGGAAATTATCCAGGTCACTCCCTTGGTTTATTGTCTGCATATCCCTTTTAATTATTGAAACATCAGCCGGTTTCTTTTGTATGTCCATGTAACATCTTTTCCATGTCATTCTTTTAGTCTGTCATTTGTAAATCCACTTTCAACTCAGTCTCGATCTTGTCAGGTAAACTTGTTCTTCCATAACATATTTTAGACATAGTCTATCCATAGAGGTAGATGTCTGTGTTGATATTATTAACTTCTGGGCCCATTTTTTAAAAACATCCTTCAGTATGTCTAATGTTAGAATACTTTGCTTCATTCTGTAAGTTGAGTTTATGTGTTCTTTTCCTTTAGTTGTAATATTTAGTTCCCTCTAGTGTCCAATTTCTTAAATCTTTTTTTTTTTTTAATTCAAAACAAAAGCATTTTCCCATGGGAAGGATTCTTTAAAATTAATTCCAAAATCTTATTTCAAATTTATCTGGACCCTTCATTTGTAACTTTCTAAAATCAAAGTTTTAATCACCCTTTTGCTGTTTATTCAAAAAAAATTTTTTT